GATCTCCCCCTCACCCTGCACCCCACCTGTCACCCCCTCTCACTGCCACCTCACCCTGTCACCCCCCCCTCACTGCCACCTCACCCTGTCACCCCCCCTCACCCTGCCACCCCACTCACTGCCACCTAACCCTGTCACCTCACCCTACACCTCACCTGTCACCCCCTGTCAACACCCTCTCACCCCCCTCACCCTGCCAGTTCCATCACCCCCTCCTCACCCTATCTCACCCTGCTACCCCATCTGTCCCCCCCTCACCCTGCCACCCCACCTGTCACCATCATCTCACCCTGCCACTACACCTGTCACCCCCCCCCTCACCCTGCCACTTCACCCTGTCACCCCATTTCACCCTGTCACCCCTCTCTCACACTACCACCCCCTCACTGCGCCACCTCACGCAATGTCCGCCCCCTGCCCTGTCACCCCCCTCCGCCCCTGTCACCCCCTCACTGCTACCACACCCTGTCACCCCCCTCACTGCCACCTCACCCCTGTCACCCCTGTACTGCCCACCTCACCCTGTCACCCCCCGCCCTGTCACCCCCCCACCTGTCACTTCCCCCCCCTCACTTGCCGCCACCCCCCTCACTTGCCTGCCTCACCCTGTCCTCACCCCCCCCCTCACTGCCACCTCCGCCCTGTCCACCCCCTCACTTGCCACCTCACCCTGTCACCCCCCTGCCCTGTCCTCACCCCCCCCTCACTGACACCTCCACCCTGTCACCCCCTCACTGCCACCTCACCCTGTCACCCCCCCTCACCCTGTCACCTCACCCTGTCACCCCGTCACCATCATCTCACCCTGCTCTCCCTCCACCTGTCACCATCATCCTCACCCCTGCCACCCCACCTGTCACCCCCTCACCTGTCACCCTGCCACCCCACCTGTCACCCCCCTCTCATGCTGCCACCCCATCTGTCACTCCCTGTTACCCTGTCACCCCATCTCACCACCTCACCCTGCCACCCCACCTGTCACCTCGCTCACCCTGCCACTTCACCTTGTCATCCCCCTCTCACCCTGCCACTTCACCCTGTCACCCCTCTCACACTACCACCCCACCTGTCACCCTGCCACCCCACCTGTCACCCCATCTCACCCTGCCACCCCACCTGTCACCCCTGTCACCCTGCCACCCCACCTCTCATCCTGTCATCCCCCTTCCAGCCCACCTCTCACCCTGCCACCTTGCCCTGTCATTCCCCTTTCACTCTGTCACCCCCCTGCCACCCCACCTGTCACACCGTCACCTCCCTCTCACCCTGTCACCCCACCTCTCACCCCCTCTCACCCTAACCCTGCCACCCCATCTGTCACCTCCCCTCACCCCTGCCACCCCACCTGTCACCTCTCAGCCTGCCACCCCACTTGTCACCCCCCTCTTACCCTGCCACCCCACCTGTCACCCCCTCTCACCCCTATCTCACCCTCCCACCCCATCTGTCACCTCCCCTCACCCTGCCACCCTGTCACCACCATCTCAACCTGCCACCCCACCTGTCACCCCCTCTCACCCCCTCACCTGCCACCTCACCTGTCACCCCCTCTCACCCCCCCTCACCCCACCTGCCACCACCCCCTGTCACCCCCTCTCACCTGCCACACACCCTATCACCCGTAGCTCTGCCACTCCACCTGTCACTGCCTGTCACCCCCTCTCACCCTGCTACCTCACCCTGCCACCCCACCTCTCATCCTGTCATCCCCCTTCCAGCCCACCTCTCACCCTGCCACCTTGCCCTGTCATTCCCCTCTCACTCTGTCACCCCCCTGCCACCCCACCTGTCACACCCTGTAACCTCCCTCTCACCCTGTCACCCCACCTCTCATTCTGTCATCCCCCTTCCACCCCACCTGTCATCCCTCACTCCCTCTCACTCTGCCACCCCCTCACCCTGTCACCCCCTCTCAGCCTGCCACCCCACCTGTCACCCCCTCACCCTGCCACCCCTTCTCACCCAGTCACCCCACATCTCACCCTGCCACCCCACCTCTCACCCTGTCACCCCACCTCTTACTGTCACCCACCCTGTGACTCCCACACTGTCACCCCCCTTACTCTCACCTCACCCTGTCACTCCCCACACACTGTCACCCCACGTCACACTGTCACCCCACCTGTCACCCCCTCACCCTGCCTCCCCTCTCACTCCACATTTGACCCTGTCACTCACCCTGCCACCCCACCTGTCACCCCCTCTCACCCTGCTACCTCACATATCACCCCACCTCTTACTGTGTCACCCACCCTGTGACCCCCCACACTGTCACCCCCCCTTACTCTGTCACCTTATCCTGTCACTCCCCACACACCATCACCCCACCTCACACTGTCACCCCCTAATACTGTCACCCCCTCTCACTCTGTCACCACCTCTCACCCTGTCACCCCCCCTACACTATGTCACCCTCCCTCACACTAGGTCTCCCCCCTCTGTCTCTTCCCTCTTACTCTGTCACACCCCTTACACGAATGTCACCCTCTTACTCTGTCACCCCCCTCTTACTCTGTAACACCCCTTACACTAATGTAACCCTCTCACACTGTCACCCCTTCTTACTCTGCCACCCCTTCACACTATGCCACCTCCCTACACTATGTCACCTCTCTCCGCACACACTGTCACCGCCCCTCCATACACACTGTCACCCCCCTCCATACACACTATCTCTCCCTCTAAACACACGGGCACCACTCTCCGCACTCTGGCACCCTTTTTACAATCACCCTGCCACAGTTACTCCTTTATTCACTCTGTCACCCCCTGAAGGCAATCATTCTACACACTGTCATAAAACATAGCTTCGCCATGAACTTAATGCCAAAGGCCACAGGCAGTAACACAAACATACACATGCTCAGAGAAACATGCATACATATACAAAGATACTCACTGCCAGACACACACTCTCAGGCACACACAGGTAGACAATGCAACGACGTATACAAAGACTAGTTCTCTATATCCAGTACTGCAAGCCCGCCCTTCAATATATCTACAGCTTCTTATACACACACAAGTCAACTGCTGTTTTTTTTCCAATAATGGTGTTAGTGGGGGCCTCATGTATGAGTTTCGCTTAGCCTTATCGTATAGTTAGGATAGCCTTACGCCTATCCCATGCATGCTTAAACTCCTTTACTGTGTTAACCTCTACCACTTCAGCTGGAAAAATGTGTATATATATATATATATATATATATATATATATATATATATATATATATATATATATATATATATATATATATATATATATATATATTTGTGCTCGGAATCTCGAATATGTAAATGGAATGCAGAGGAGAAGCAAAGTTGGTTGAGGTGTGCCGAAAAGAGGGCCCACAAAGTGAAATGTATAAGGGAGGGTGTAGGTGGGTGGGGACAAAACAGCTTGAACGGCAAAGGTAAGTAGGGGGGTAGGGTTTATATAAGGTCATAACTCCTCCCACAAATTCAGGCCAAACGGCCTTCCAACTTGTGTTCGGAATCTCTAATATGTAAATGGTATGGAGAGGAGAAGCAAAATTGTTTGAGGTGTGCCGAAACCAACGTACGAGTAGGCCTGTAAAAAGAGGGCAAAAGGAATTTTAAGCAAACACACTTTATTGCAAGTTTAACCCCTTAAGGACCAAACTTCTGGAATAAAAGATAATCATGACATGTCACACATGTCATGTGTCCTTAAGGAGTTAAACAACTAGATTTCTGAAAGCTTGCCTAAGCTCCCTTTCCGGTTGAGGGATGTAGGAGTTGTATACTGAGGATTTCCAGTGGCCCAGTCTCTTAATGATGTGAACCGGAGTGTTAGTGCTTGAAGCCGATGATTCTGCGCCGATGCAAAATGAGTGACCAGAGAAGGAAGCTGGGTTGTAGTACAATCTTGACAGAGTTCTGATGTGTGAAATAAATTTAGCTGTGGTGAGTGGTTGTCCTTGGAGTAGAAGTAGTGGAGTGTCTGGTGAGTGTGTGTGGTGAGATAACAGGAGTAAATCCAGAATATGTATAGAGCACCACAGATTCTCGGTAAGGAAGAGGAGGTTTTGTGGCCACCAGAATGAGGTGACAGGATGTCGGCCTCTTGGTGACTGTAAGATTCAAAACGTGTGGCCGTGACATGGGAAGCCCTAACTGTAGCCCTAAAGAAGAGCGAGCGAGGTGGCTAGCTATGATTTGGTCGTTGGGCTGAACCTACGTGTATGAGGTGGGGGTGTAGACCTCGCGGATCGCAGTATTATTAGGGAAAGCAAGGGCCAGCACCTGACCCTGAATGCCAGTTCTCTACCCTGAAGGGGGCTTGTCTCTTGAAGGAAGTATATAACGTCTGTAGATACTGACCTTGAGTGTTTGTCTTGTATATTTAGGCAATGCTCAGGGCGACTTCAATATATATGTTTATATATACTGTGAAGAACAGGTCCAGTCCTATGGGTAAGCAAGATGCTAGTAGGCCTGAGGCGTGCCATTGGTATGCCAAGTGTAAAAATGTAGAACGTATGGAATGGTGTGTAACAGTAAAACTGTATTGTAAGCAGGGCCGGATTAACATAGGGGCTGATGGAGCTGCAGCTCCAGGCCCAGGCCCATGGAATAGGCCCATTGATTTAAAAATAAAATATATATATATATATATATATATATATATATATATATATATATATATATAGATTTTTTTATTTTTTTTACATTTTTTTTTTCACACACTACTATTAGGGATTCCACCTGGCTTTTA